TTCCGATAGTCCGGCATATTTGATAATCCGGCACCCCCTGGGTCCTAAAGGTGCCAAATTATCGGAAGTTTACTGTAAATAGCATTTTGGGAGTAATGATATGTGTATTATAGCAGGATGATTATACCTAGCTTGTGGTAATAGAATGAATATTTATAATGTGTATGAAGGATTTTTAAATAATTTTCTCTTTTTTAGATTGTTAATGAAGCAGCAAAATATCGATATCGCTCTGGAGATCTTTTTAACTGCGGAAGTCTCACGATAAGAGCACCATGGGGTTGCGTAGGTCATGGTGCGCTTTATCATTCTCAAAGTCCAGAAGCTTTTTTTGCTCATTGTCCAGGAATAAAGGTATAATAATCTTCATGTTTAACTTTGTGTGAGGCATAAAAGAGCGAAAACCTGACTAAGTGCATATTTCCAATAATGTGCTCTAATTCAAATCAATGTTGCAGTGATAAGATATCACCATTTCTAGCTTTCCCTTTCTCTCAAGTTAACTTTTTTATGTATGGATTCATAGTGTTGGGTTACAAGCCTTTAACACAGAGAGTTTTTCATTGCTTGATGAATTGAAAGACTTCTAAAGCAAAAGAAGTATTTTTATGTCATTTTTAAAAAACCACAACTGTTCTTCGTTTTCACTGGTGTACAGAGCTAAACCTAACATGGCTTTTATATCTTATGAGTGTCAGATTAGGTATTTTTTTCTTGGTGGGAACCTTTCCCCCATATCTTGTCTCCTTCACCCAAATTTTTTTTATTTTATAGAGTCATGACTGCATTTTATTTTCGTATCTAGGATGTAATTATGATATCCCAAGAAATAATGTCTCTGGCTCACATTTGACACAGCTCCAAAACAGAAGCACATAATAGGGATGTGAAGGACTAGTCGACTAGTCGCTCTCTCTCCCCCCTACCCCCCCAGGGCTGTTACTACACTTCAACGGCAGAGGCACCCTATCGACTAATGGAATAGTCGATACATTTTGCATCGACTTTTCTATTAGTCAGTTGATATTTAACATCCTTAGCATGTAAAAATGTTGCTATAGCAGTTTTCATTGAGAATGTTTGAGGAGAAGACTCAGGTGCTTCATGACCTCTGCATTCTTATTATTTCATGACTGAGACAGGGAGCTGGGTATTGATTTGTTTTGTTTTGTTGGTAGGGAGAATGAAGCATCGAATGTGTTGGTGAGAAAAGTTTCTCTGAAAGCGTAGATCTGGGAATTAACAGTACTGTAACATTGAACAAAAGACAAACAGCAAAATAAGCATCAGCTTAAGATAACTATTCTAAAAATAATGCAGTACTGAAAATGAATACGATATTTTTAACTTCAGATAGGGAGGACAGGGACATTTTAGGAAGTCAAAGGAAGAAAATCAGCATTGTGTCCAACTCAAGGTGTGATGTTGCTTCCATCCAAGACGAACAATTGAATATAGCCATCCTCATTTTTCCCTCAACCTGCAAGCGTCTTTCTGTTTTGAAGGATCAGTAGTTTGAACAACCTGGCATTTTCAGTGATATTACTTTCAAACCACTGCTTTTGTCATTCCAGACTGATTCCTGTTACATGACCATGTGTGTTCTTTTCCATGTATCAGTAGCCTTTTATCAAAGTAGAAGATGAACCTTCAAAATGTAGAGATTATTTTAAAGATTATTGGGAACCCCTCCCTAAGAATATCTTATTTGGAGAATTGGGTTCATAGGAATAACAGATTATTTATGCTGATCTAAAGAAAAGGAAATCATAACCTGCCCTTATTTAAGGAGTGGGGTGCAATGAGGCAAATTCTTCCAGAATGTAAAAAAAATGGTACCGATCAAAACTGTGTATATATAGAAAATAAGAGTTGCAGCTAACAGTAGAAGACTGATACAATAAAAGAGATTTCTGCATTCACTTTGTCTGTGCACTTTTTTAAAGCTTTCTTGACAATGACTTCAGAGAAGGAACAGGTGAGGTATGTGTAGCCAGCCTTATTGGTGGTATCATGCTTTCCCAAAGAAAGCTCGAGAGATTTTAAAAACTTGTAAAAGAGCAAAAAGTTGGTCTCTGAAAATGGTGGTTATATCGAGTTAACCTATAGATTTTCTTCACCTTAGGGAGCAAAACATAATACCTTTTGCAAAGCAGAACAAATTACCCTGCAAAAGAACACCGTTGAATTAAATAGAACGACGAGAAGTCCTTATAGACTAGGGTATGTCTTCACAGCAAAGTTATTTTGAAATAACAGCTGTTATTTCAAAATAACTTCACCAGCGTCTACACAGCCCAACCAATATTTCAAAATTAAATTGAAAAAGCAGAGGGCTTATTTCGAAACTGGTAAACCTCATTCCACAAGGAAAAGTGCCAATTTTGAAATCACTATTTTGAAATAAGTGCTGTGTAGATGCTCATTTCAAAATAAGGGGCCTCCAGCCCTTCCCAGGGTGCCCTGGTGGCCACTCTGGGCCCAACCAAGAAAACTCCTCTCCCTCCCCCTGCTCCCCAGAGGCTTTAAAGGGGTAGACTCTGGCCACAGTGTCAGCTCCCAGCCTGCCAGCCCAGAGCCAGCAGTCGCTGCATGAGCAACTAGCATGAGCCAGGCAGCCAGTGCCAGCCAGGACCTGATGCCCTGCCAGAACCCATTCCGGCCAGCCTTAAATGCGATTCAGCGTCCTATAAGTGTGGATACTCTATTTCAAAATAGCAAAATGCTATTTTTAAATGCATTTTGTGTCTAGACACTTTATTTTGAAATAAGGTATTTCGAAATAACTATTTCGAAATAGCTTATTTAGAAATAACGCTGTAGTGTAGACATAAACCCAGAGATTATTTCAAATTTACGAAGTTTGACTTCTGGTAACCTGAATTTACAAATTTGAAATTCTGTGTTCTCACTATGGGGAAGAATCGAATGTAGTCCGAGGTAGGCTCCGTTAATGTGGATGTGCTACCACTGACTCAGAGCCCCAGGAAACACTGTGGGGAGCTGTTGGAGGTCTCCTGGAGGCCAATTAGTTTAAATTAGGAGCACTGGAGTGTCCACACTAACGTTATTTTGGACTTATAAGTTAAGGCTGAATTTGCACAAGCAGTCATAATTTTGGTATTCCCAATTTTTTTTTTTTTTTTTTTTTTTGCACAATAGGGACTAATTTTTTTTCATAAAATGTGGCAACACTGTGCTCCCTGTTTTCTCCTTGGTAGCTTCATGCTGGGTGGACACCAGCGGAGAGAACATTAAAAACAGAGAGCATAGATGGTAGTGGTGTTTGGAGGAATATCGAAGATCCTTCCAGTTCACTATAACACTATATTGCTGTAATTGCATGAGGGCAGATCTTCAAAGTTAGGTGCCTGAGTTGCAGAACTGCAGTTGCACATATCTAATGTATGTATCCAGATATCAGAATGAACTTATGAATCAATTGTGTATGCAAATTACCTGGTTTGATAAGGTACCTATTAGGTTGTGTGCATATGCAAATAAATGACTTGTGAGCATGTGACTGTTGGGTATGTACACACCTATATGCTGTACTAATTGATTTCTCAACCATGTTTTTACAAATGAGAGAGACAAGGTATACAGTTCTCAGAGTACATGGAATTTATTCAGCTCTTGTTATCCTTGCATGGATGTTCAGAGGAAGGTTTATAAGAATGGATGGTTGGGAGTCAGAAAGGGGAAGAATACCTTTTGGGTGGTAGAGCTTATAGGATTTGGTTGAACCTCATGGAGGATTTTTCTGTTGACTTCCTGATTCTATTAACCCTTTTGTTGTTGTGACAAGGAGTCCTGTGGCACCTTATAGACTAACAGATGTATTGGAGCATAAGCTTTTGTGGGCAAAGACCCACTTTGTCAGATGCAGTAGGTCTTTGCCCACGAAAACATATGCTCCAATATATCTGTTAGTCTATAAGATGCCACAGGACTCATTGTCGCTTTTGTAGATCCAGACTAACACGGCTACCCCTCTGATCTTTTGTTGTTGTTGTTGTTGCTTCTGAGGAAAATACTTTGCTGCAATTGCAGCTGTCATTCCTCTATCCTACAGTGAAACAGTTGGATATTTTTAATAAAAGTTGTTGGACATTTACCGTTTCTGGTTCTCCTTTCTCAAATAAATGACGAGGTGCTAACATTACAGCCCTGAGTTTCGGTCGAACAATCTGAACTGCCTTATGTGAGTAGAATTCCTCAGTGTCTGAAACATTGCAGAGAAAAGGACTGGTCTAATGTTTTAAGTCAATTTGAGGGAAAGCAAATATTTTCAAGAACAAAAAAAAAAGGCAGGTGAAGTGCCATAATTAGATTTCACTGCTCCTGTTAGCACACTTTAATGAGTATACAATTGGATGGACAATTTATGTAAGCATAGCAGTAAGTGACATAATTTCTGCTAAATGGTGAGATTGTATAAGTTTCACTGATTTGTGTGATTTCACTTTTGAGTATGATGCATGGCTACTGTACTAGTTAAGTTTTTAAGTATTACACATTAAAGTTTCTCTAAATATTTTACCATTTGTATTTGTGGTATAAATATTGCAGCCTTATCAGGATTAAGAACCACAAAATGTAAGGGAGTGTCTTCTAGAAGATAGGAATTTCCACATTATCTAGATATGGTAATTGCAGTAGCATTTAAGAATATAAGAAATCTTTTATTTGTAGATTACTGTTAAAATTAAAACAAGCTTCCTTAAATATAGGCCTTGGTTCAGCAAAACCCCCAGACTTATACTTAACTTTTGTCACACCGATGTTGTTGACTAGATGGATTTAAGCACATGTGTGTAAGTGCTTTGCTAAATCATCATCCATGAAGAAAGATTATTTTAAAATTTTGTTAATGGCAATAGTCACACTTTTAGAAAAATTGAACAAGATGGAGAGCAACGTTTATATAGCAACAAAGTAGTATTTCTAACAGCTAGTGATGGTGTTTTGGCACAAGTTCAGATGAAAAATTCTGATTTTTGTTTTTCTGCTTTGCTTGATCCTGATATTCATCATTAGGCTCCTTCATGTAGGTTCTAGTTAGTTTTGTTTTACTAGCAAGTGGCACAAAATTAACCTAGTATAGAAAAGGAAAAACATTCTGATCATTTTTTATCTTTGCCTGATCTCAGTGGATTTTATAAGTAGTAGCTTAAACTTGAGTAGCTTGCTAATATAATATTATCTCTGTATCTAACTGTAAATAGCTGAATTATATTTCAAATCAGTTTTATAAATAATTTTTACAGGTTGTTATTCCAAGAAGTCCTCTTCAGGCCAAAGGACTATTACTATCATGCATAGAAGATAAAAACCCCTGCATATTCTTTGAACCTAAAGTACTTTACAGAGCAGCAGGTAAAAAAGCTTCTTTATATGTTGTATGTTCCAGTGAAATGCAGTTTACTCTGTGTGTGTGGGGGGAGGGGGCGGGAAGAGAAGAGGGCTGTGTCTAGACTACACCTGTCGACAGAGAGATGTAGATTAGGCACGTCAAAATTGTTAATGAAGTGGGGATTTAAATATCTCATGCTTCATTAGCATAAACATGGCCGCCCCTTTTTTCCGAAATGGAG